TTCCTGGTTATAACAGTTGTTCCAGTGGTGACTCTGTCAATATATTTTCAGGAGGAAAAAAGGAAGAAAACATTTGTACTCCTTGAAGGACACCTTTTTATCTACCTTGCTATTATTTGCTTGCTAATTCAATTCTCTCCATGTAATGGCTATGTAAACCTTAAATTATTTCATAACATTTAGCACCTAATTCCAGCTGGCATTCAGCCCTTGCCACTGACCCACCCCTGCATGTTTCATGCATTTCCATATCAAATTCTTACTAAGGTATCAATCCTGTATTTTAAAAGCCTTTTCTTTGTTGACTGTGTATTGCACTAAACCCAAACGCTATATTCGAACTACTGACTAAACTCACAGCAGCACAGTACAAGGTACTGTCATGTTCTTCAAAATCCTGATGCATTTACCAGATCTGTTCAGACTGAATTACCTGAAAGGTGTAATCTGCAAAAGTGTTTGTGCATGCAAATATTTTCACTGTCTCAGCAAGTAGTCTCTAGTCACACTGTTTAACAAGTACCATTGAACAAGAGTGCGTATTTTTTTTAATAATAAGGTTCATTCAGTTTAATTTACTCTGAGTTTTTTCTAAAAATAACCTCTGACAAGATTAGTTGTGAAGAACTTGGTATGTGTTGTATATTTCTCAGTGCTAATGATTTTCAGCAGAAGCTCTCGTTTCTGTCTTTTGAGTGAGAACACAAAATTCAAGAAAACAGGCTGAGCTGTACTATCCTCTGTCTTTTGAATTCTTGCACATTGAATCCTGAACTGCAGATCTTAACTGCCGTAGCGCTCTTTTAGGATGAGGGTAATTTGAACAGTGCTAATTTTTTCTCTCTCAGTCAGAAAAGACAAGAGTTTGTGTTAATATCATGTAGTTAATGAAATACATTGCATTAACTAGTAGTGCTTCCGCAATGGTCATTGATACAGTTTCAAAATCAGAGACTTCATTTCAAGGCTAGTTTTAGTTTTTCTGTACTGCCATCTTGCTTTGACTTGTCCACTCCATTACTGTGGAGAGCACTGGCTCCAACAATGAGCCCGTACAGATGCAGTTCAGTTATGAAAACAATGTTATGAAAACAGTAGCTATTTATTTGAAGGCTGACGAGAAAACCAAGAGTTTTACCATACGGATGCTGTTTTGCATGGCCTCATTAACAGCATGATGTAAGTGTAACCTATTTTCTTTAATTTGGTGTAACCCAAGAAAACTTCACAGCTAGTGGAGGTCAAAAGTGACATTGCATTGGGTTACAGAAAGCAGGGTGGTCGAAGTGGGGGGTGAGAGTGGCTGTGGGAGGCACAGGTACCGGCGTCCAACTAAACCAGATGACTGGACTACTATTTTATTCTTGGGAGCCTATCCTACCTCCTGCTCAAAGCAGGGTCAGCTATGGGGTCAGACCAGGTTGCTCAGGGCTTTATCCAGTCACATCTTGGAAACACCCCAGGGTTGGAGACTGCACAACCTCTCTGGGCAACCTGCTCCACTGCTGCACTGTCCTTAAAGGTAAAAAAAAAGTTTTCCTTCTAGCCGGTCTGAACATCTCCTGTTCCAACTGATGCCTCTTGTCTTTCATCCTCTCACTATGCACTGCTGTGCAGAGCCTGGCTCCATCTTCTCAAGGGGCTGCTGTCAGGTTCCCTCAAAGCTATTTCTTCTTCAGGTTCAGCAAGACTGGTTCCCTCAGCCTTGGCTCACAGGGCAAGTGTTCCAGCCCTGACCATCTTGGTGGTCCTCTGCTGAATTCACCCCTATTTATAGATGTCTTTTCTATTTTGGGGACCCAAAACTAGACTTAGTATGCCAGACGTGGTTTAATAAGCACCAAGTAGAGGCAGATAATGATTTTCTTTGATGTAGAGGCATATAATAATTTTCTTTGATCTACTGGCTCTGCTCCTGTTAATACAGCCCAGGATGCTCTTGGCCTTTGTTGCTGTGTGTGTAATATGAGCCTCCTCAATACTGAGGAGCCTTGTTAAAAGGCTGACTTTCATTCAATACCAAATAAAAATTGATTAGAAGTATCAGCAGAAGGAGGCGAGAGGCTTTATTCAGACAACTTTGCTTCTTGTTTCAGACTTAGAGAGCTTTAGTGATCTTTCAGTTATACAGTCCATGAGCTAAAAATTTGCAGAATGAAGCATGACGTGCACAGAGAAGCTGAGGCTGATGGCAGCATGGTTTTCTTTAACCTGGTAAAACTGCTGTGGTACTTGCACGAGATTTTCCTTGCTATCTGTTTTGGGGTTTTTTTAAACATCAGGTTAGAGAAATGTAGGTATCTGAATTTCTAGAACAACATACATCCAGAGCCACTCTGCAAATCCCTTACTATGTTCTATAAAAACACTCCTGGGACAACTGAAGTAAAGAGATGCTAGTAGTGTGTATCATTAATGTGACTCCTACAGTGCTATCAAACTGCTAACAAACAGAAAGCTCGATATGCAAAACCCAACAAACTGCCCTCATTGGTGAGAATACAGTGAACCCTTTGGGAATAATTCATATATGATGTAAACCAATTTTTTTTTTTCCTAGTATGTTTTATCTTATACTGATGCATCAGCAGCAGTCCATGTTCCATTCACTGGTGGTGCACAGCTTGTCTGTAAACAGCATGATTTGTACTCAAGCAGAAAGATCTCTGGGCAATGAAACAACTGAAACTGCAACTGCTGTTTGTTTAGCAAACTCAGTCTATTTTGAAAGCTTTCTTTATTTGAAAAAACGAAATAAACGGAACCTCTGTGAACTTTCTTCTGCTTTTCTTAAAAAAAAAAAAAGTGAGCTTTATTTTCTGCCTTGTAGCAATATTTTTTTTTCTGGTTACTGGATTTCTCTTTTGTGGGCTATGGCCAGCTACATGCTGAGTTTCCAAGGTTGAAAACACGATTAAAATTATGAAATATTTTGCTTGTTCACAGGAAATATTGCAGCAAAGCTAGCCTGTCATTCTGATCACTTGCTTAGGTACTTCATGGACTGCTTAATTTACTTTTTCCCTAAAATTCTCCTATATTTTCCACATCCTGCAGGCACCTGCGCATCTCTGTAGTTTCCATTGGAGGCTTCACCTCCGTCTGTGAGACCCAACAACCCAGTATCTTCATAGCAAGGGTTCTGCTAAACTGGAGTCTTCTGTAATATAGTGGGGGTGATCAGTTGCTCTGTTTGTCTTCTACCACTTCTTTCTGGCTGAAATTTAGATTAAGTGAAACATGGTAAGGGTGTTTAACAATGCCAAAGCCGTGGAGAAAGGTTTGGGAACTGTGGGCTAAGGTCCTCAATTCCAAACTAGTGCTGTTTAATCTGCAGTGTCCAAACAACTCCTCTGAGACCTCTTGTGGTGGTAAAGATGCTGCTTTTAATTTCTAAACTTTTTTTTGGTTTGTTTGGTTTTTTTCTGTGGGC